ATTTTTTGTTGAATATCATAAGCAAATTGCTCATACTCATTGCTTCTTCTATTGTCAAATAGCTTATGTACATCGTGGCGTAAGACCGAAACTTTTTTCTGCTAGGGTTTCTTTATTTTTGCAATATTAAAATGAAAGGAAAAATTATGTTTCATATTTTTTAAATAAAATAAGTTCCGTATTAAGAACTGAAATATCAAATATGTACGTAATACAAATTTCTACTCATAAATTCAAGTGAAACATTGTACTATAACGATCATTATTTTACGGAGATTTTTTTATTTTTTTAAAAAAATTTTTTTTTTCAAAATAGATTTTCTTTACAGAAACTTTGTTCCTTACTAACTGCATAGTACCTATTAGGCTGTGATTAAGCTACTACTAAGTAAGGTAGTAACTATATATTTACTATATAGTCACTTTGCAGTTACTGCGTATTAAGGAATCCAAGTTTCTGTAAAGTTAATTTGGCTTGTACAGCCCACCTTCAAATTAACACGAAATACAATTTTTTGCAATAAATTTTTGAACAACTTTAAAATGGATTTTTTTGCAAATTTCAGAATTCCTTGATTATTTAAATCATGTGATCTTATTTTTATTTTCGTTTTACGTTACGCGACTTTGATTTGTTGAACTTGTTTTTAAGTAATATTAAAAATAGAATGAATTAAAATATGTAGCACTTGTTTTTATGGATATTAAAAATGAAAAAAAAAACTTATATTTGACAATTCTTAAAATTTATAACGCCGACGCTATTACTAATTGAAGTAGAAAATATTAATGATGAATACAATCATATTTTTGTAAACATAAAAAAAAATTGTTAACCAAATGAAGATGAAATTATATTTATATGTTCTTTGAGCAGCCAAAATCAAAATATTCTTCTTTAGTGGAAGGTAATGATATTTTATTTAATTTATTACGATAATATCATTACACGAAACCGAATGTCCACATTTAGGCAACATTACTAGGGAATTACAGGTAAAAAAATTAAACATTAGTTAATACTTTTTTTAATAAAGCAACATATGTTCTAGTTGAACTAATTTTCTGACGGAACCAATCTAATATCAACCAAAAATGTGGTCTTAAAGCTAATATAATTCACGCCTGTATGTTAAAATTCTGATAGTAAAAGATGAAAAAAAAAATATCAACATATCATTAATATTACCCTTGAAAATTCAAGTCAAATCCAGGTTAAGCAATAATTGGGATTATTAACGGGTTCGAGTTTGAATATGCTTCAAACCCACCCAACCCTTACGGAGCACTACTAGAGGCTAGTGCTCTGTAAGGATCGGGTCGTATCAGGCTTAGGCATATTCGAACTCGAACCTTTTAATAATTACAAAACCAAAAATTGACTCGACCTGATCATTATTTAACCCAGATTCGATTCAAATTTTCAAGAGTGATATTAATGCCGAAAATAAAAGTGTCATAAAGTTTTTTTTTTTTGTGAGCATTAATCCTAATTCTTTTTTTTACATTATTTTCCATTAGGATTTCAAGCACATACAGGCACGAATTGTGTTACTTTAAGATCACATCTTTGGTTAATTCTACTGAAATACATGTTGTTTTATTTAATATTCGATATTTTTTTTTTTACGTCACATTACATAAACAAAAAAAAGGTCTATTGTGTCAATTCATATGATATTGTTTAAATCAGGTTACCAGATTGATTAAAAACGTGACCCTGACCTGACAGGATTTTTTAAATGAAGTTTTTTTCCAATAAAAAAATTTTAAAAGTAAAATCATTTATTTAATGATATGTTGTAAAATATATAAAAAATGGTTTTTAAAACAATTGATTTTGAAAATAATTCTACTGTAAATTTATTTTTATAAGCCAAAAATTTGCATAAAGTTAAATTGTAATTTGGTAATCAGCCTATCATGAAAAGTTGATATTAGTTATTCTTTACGCGAAGGTGAGTGTACAATTTTAATTTTAACGTAATATAAATAATCGGTTAATTAACATGTTACGCTGTTTTTTTTTTTTGTTTTTGTTTTTTAGAAAAAAAATCCGGGCGTCATTGTATTTAAAAAAACAATTTAGAGGTCGGCAAAATTTATAACTGTACAAACTAAAATTAAAAATGAATTTTTTGGAAATTTTGTTAATTAGTGATAGTTATTGTATTGTGATATTTATATATATATATTTTTTAAAAAAAAATAAATAAATAAATAACCCTTGTAAAAAATATTAACTTTAATAAGAAACTATTTTACCTCATTAACCAATAAAGATTTGAAGAATAAGCTTTTTTAAAGTACAAGAAAAAAAAAAATAAATCTCTAAAAATGTAGAAAGTACGTGACACTATCAGTAACATGTTCATTATGTTTCACAGGTTTTTTTTTTGTAACAAGCAAAACTTTGAACCAAATAAAGAAAGCTCTAAAGTGGATTCAAAATTCTTTTTTTGAAATCGTACAACAATGGGCGTTTTATTTTTGTGATCGACATGGTCTTTCGCTTTAATTTGTTGTTGCTTGTATTGCTGTTGTTGTTGCATTTACCACTGCACTGCTGCAACAAAAACAAGCTATTTTTTGTTAATACCGTATTTGACATCATGTGAATTGTTTGCGTTTATAGAATTCTATTCTACTAACTTTTCCAGCGAAGAAATTTTTTACTAGAAACACAACATATAATTAAGTAATATAACGGTGCGCTCTTTTAATATATTCATTCTTAATTGCGAGTTAAGATTAAAATTAAAGTAGTCATATTTTCGGAAGTATTTTCGGATTGAGTAAAAGCAAAACAATCAGCAAGATTTATAAAATTGCGGTAGATTTGTGGATATTCATTCATGAATTATTGTAAAGAAAGAGTAAGGAGCATAACAATTATACTTGAAATAATCTTTTTATAATTTTAAAAATGAATAACGACACGAGAGTTGAAAAGACGTAATTGTAATTTAAAGTAAATTTTTCAAATCTCATGCTTTTTATAAGAGTTTAATTTGATATTTTTAAGCTCTTCATCAATTACAAAGTGAGTTGACTCTAAAAAAGTTCTAAATACTTTTCCACGTTTTTCACAGTACATGTATAACAATATTTTTTTTTAAGAGTAACTCGATCAGGAAAAGACTAGATTAAACTATTCATTCATGCGCATGAATAATCGGAAAAATTTTTACATGAAACATTACAATTAAATTAATCCTTAAAATTATAATATTAATTACAGTCCCCGGTAGTGATGGGACCCCTGAATTTTTAGTTAATAATATTTTTATTTAATTTTTTTAAAAAAATCAGGGGATTCAAAAAAAAAATATTTTTATATATATATATATATTATCGTTTATGCATAAAAAAAAAAAAAACTTTTCCCCACTTTATTTTTGTTTATATGCCGATCTTTCCACAGTAGATTTCATAAAAGCCACGTTTTAAGCGGGAAAAAAGGGTTTGAGAAGGTAATTATTTTCCTTTAGACTTGATTATTTTGAATAATTATAAATATCATGGGTTTAGAAAAAAGAAGAGAAGAGACGATTAGAAGTGGTCTTTTTTATTATTTTTATAAAAAAAAAAATATTTTATTACTTCTATATATTTTTAAAAAAAAATATTATGCCTAAATCGATAAAGCAAAAAAACAATAAACTTGTAACTGCGCTTACTATTAATTCGAATATTGATGAAAATAATGACAACTCAAATAGTATTCTCACTGATTTCAAACCAACTTTCCCTCCCACATTAACAGCAAATGATCTTATTAATAATGTTAATAAATCTAACACATTTAACAAAAGTAGAGCAAAAACATTTCCAAACGCTTTTATCGTTTATAGAATAGCGTTAACTAAAGAATATCGTAATAAGAACATTAAGCTACCACGTATGGGGCCATTTTCTAAGATCGCAAAAAAGTCTTGGGAGAAAGAGTCACAAGATGTCAAAGATGTTTACCATAAGCTATCTGAGGATGCCAAATCTTTGTATAATCAAAACAACGTTCAAATTATATTTGATAAGCATATGGTTGTAAATGATCAACAAAGCGCGGGGGGTGCCGCAGAATCGGCTTACGTCAATCATGATACCGAGGTTTTTCCTGTCGATACCTTTACGCAAAATTCATCAAGTGAGTATCTTCCAGAGGATTCTTCTCCAAATTATAGCTTTTACGAAGATCCGTATGGACTGAATTCAGCTGATCGAGAATTATTATATATACTTGATTTTCATTTCAAAATTGATACACATACACATGAATAGAGCCTGACATAAGTCCAAATTTTGAAGTTGAGCTATTTGCGATTCGAAATTTAATAATTCCAATAATATTATTTTAAAATACTCCCTATTGTTGATTACATTAAAATACACCCTTTGTTTGTCATTTTGATATTCTCCTTTTAGATAAATTTGACATTTTATTTTCTTTTTGTTTTAAAAAAAAAAAAAAAAAAAAAATAATTAAATATTTCAATAATGTAACGCGACATATAAATTATAAAATTTGCAAAATGTCGATCAATTTAAAATACTGGGTTGGGATGTCACTAAATAAAAGACCTTGTCTGAAATTGCAAAAGTCTTATAATATAATGAACCAAACGAGGAGAAGATTAATGCAATGTTAAAGATAGAAGTAATGGTGGTTTATACTGTTTGCCTAACCTGAGTAAAGCATTTATCTCTTCGACTGTGATGGAGTATGAAAGAGTTTTGGTGTTATTTTTCGTAAGGAAAATTAAGAACCAACAACCTTTTAACTGTTTCTTCACTTTATCAATTTTTGTAATTTTTTTTTTGTGGAAATTTGGTATTACAAAGAAAAAAAATGTTTTTAACGTTAATAGCGTTTTAATTTAATAATCATTATTTTAAGAGAATAAAATTAAGATTTAAGCTCAATTTTTATTAAACGCATCGTCGCACAAGGTAGTATTATGATATGAATTGTATAAAAAAAAGTGAATATTTTTTATTGCAGAAAATTGTGATTGAATTTTAATTTTAAAATAATTCTTAATCATGAAAAACCAAAGTTTAAAGACCTTGCACAAACTTTCTGTTTTTATTGTAATAATATTGTTTGATAATTTTTTTATACTGGAATATGTGTATTATCTGTTATCAAGAATTATCAAAGTGCGCTTCAACCCGTTTGTGTAGTTCTAATTAGTAAAATACAAAATAATAGAAAAGTCCAAATATGCTTTCATTGATGGCCTTTGCTAATTGTGTTACAGATACACAGTTATGTAGGTTGGCGCTGTTTGCGTTCTTTTTATCAACATTTTCTTTTTCTGAATCTATTATTATGATTCATTTTGTAATTGTGCAATTTTAAAAACATCGAGATTATACAATAATCAATTACTAAGTAATAATCACCGAAAGATTTTTGACAAATATTTTTTTTTTTGAACGTACACAAACAGTAGCTAAGCTATTAAAATCAAGTTACGGGACCCCTCCAAACGTAAATGAAGACATTGTTCATATTATTATATTTGATAATGAACTTTGTTTAATTTTTATAATCGATTATCTTATTAACAAGCAAGCCGTCAAAAATTTCTCGTTTTTATGTAACATCAGTCAAAATCTAAAATTAGATTTGAAATAATCAACACAAATTTGGAGTATTTATACCTAGTAAAAAAATTATTTTATTGAAAAATACTAAAAAAAAAAAAATATTTCTTTCTAAAAAGAATTTTCATTAAAATCATTTTTAATATTTTTTATAATAAAAAATGAGAAATTTTATTTATCATTACTTTATTTATTGAATTTATTATTATTATTATTTTATTTATACATGTAAAAAATGGCTCGAGTTTCGTGAAACTGCTCTGGTCTGTTTTTGGCCTCGTCTAATTTTCTATCTGAACTATCTGAAAAATGATTGAATGATCGAATATTTGGCTGAGATTTTCTTTTTCTATATTTGTTATGGATCAGTAGTATGTGAAAGAAAACGTTTTGTATAGTTCTTGATCATTATCATATTCGTT